TTGTAGATCTCGTCGTCCTCTACAAGAAAGGTCTCATGCAATTTTTCCGTAAGTCCAGCGGTTTGGGAGTTATTGGCAAAAAACGAAAATGTCGCGAAATTTGAAGGGGTACCCCTTGGAAAAATCTCGGAAAAATAAAAAAATTTTTTTTTGTCGAAATATCGAAAAATATCGAAGTATATTCTAAAAAGCGTCAAAAATTGCGTCAATATGCGTCCTTGCATACTTAGTATAACACAGTTAAACTTGGTTAATGCTACCCTGAACAAAATGAATTTCCCTTTCGTTCAGTCGCGACGTTTAACCTGCGCCGCGGTTTCTTCGACGCATAAGTCAAGAGGTCGAGCAGTGGTCCGTGAGATAAGATAAACTTCGACAGAAAGAAAGGGAGAACGTTTCCCGCTTTCGCTCCCATTCAAGCGTTACACCTTATTTACTGTTTAACGAGCGGCGACTCCTCGCCTTCGCGCCGATAAGACGAAACGAACAAATTGAAAGGATGGGAGGGATAATTTGCAGGAGGGAGACCGCCTAAAAATCCGCGTTACAACGCGCCACTGACAAATTTACGAGTTCCACGCTGAAAGCCCCGTTATCGTTCCGTGTCCTCTCGCCGTGCGCTTCTCAATCTTCTTGCCTCTCCGATCTCACAATTAGTTCGCGGGAACAACGATCTCGAGAATGCGCAACGAAGTTCGCCACGTTCTGAGTTCTCATAATACCATTTTCGCGATTACACCTGCCGTAGACACGATTCCTTTTTCGTGACTCTATTTTAATTGTAATCGCAATTTTTAAACGAGATTATTTATCAAATTAGACAAAGAATATTTAAAATAAAAATTTGATCACGCAGTATATTTTCCAAATATCCAGCAACTCGAGAATCACGAGATTACGAGAAAGTGCACGAAGAGGCGAAAGTCGAGATATCATCAAACGTGGACGAATCTGAATCAAGCGTGGCGAATGGTACGGGCGTATAAACGGAGAAAGAGTTGAGGGAAGCGCGCGAGTGACGCGAATGGTCAGCGAAGCTCTTCAGCTATCTGAAGACGAATCGCGAGCTGATATTGTTCCCGGCCGCTTTAAACGAGGCAGCGAGGCAGGGTAAGGGAAAGGTTGGAAATTTCGTGGTTCAACGGCGAGCGAACGGGGTCTCGCGAGTGGAACGGGTCATCTTAAACGACGAGGTGAGGCTGAGCCCGGGAAGGGCTGGTAGAAAATCTCTCCCGATACAATCTTTTCGCGCCGCGATTGCTCTTACGAGCACCGTACGAAACGCGCCGGATCGAGGTGTCAGCCGTGTTTCTCACGTGTACCAACCCGCGAGATAGCGTCACCCCGCCGTCACGCGCGATATCATTAAGGTAGATTTATGTCTTGCGCAACGGAGCCGGCTCGGGGTTACGCGAGAAGGCGTCAAGACGTAGGTGCGCTTGTATGGGAATAAATTACTCGATGATTTGGTTCATTTGATAAGGAATTAGTGTCGAGCTTGCATTCTAGGACCTGCAATTCGAGTGGGATTAACGAAGTGCCTTGCAAAATTCAATTTGTTTTAATATGCCTAATGTATTCTTCAGTTTTGTTGCACTTCGATTCGATTTCTAGACTATCCATAATACTTACATACATAAAAATGACTATATTAGTAAATTAGTTATCATAAAATATTAAATTAATTAAACGAGAATGAAGAAATATTTTTATAGAAATACATAGATAAACAGACACGCGTGGGGAGTTACTCAGTGCATCACTAGTTCCGTGTGAAACGAATAACCAAGCCGGAGGAATTTAATTAGTCGTCACCTTCACGACTAATAGACTCAGACCACATGCGAGAAACTTTAATTCGAGCGATCACCGCGGTTGATAACTGACGGCAAACTACCGGGTAGCTCGAATTAAGTTAGGCGGGTGATACGAAATCAGCAGCTGGTTATCTCCAACATTTTTACTATTACGGTGCTACCATGCTTTCTTGTGACCTGGTAACTAGCAAAGAATCTTTTAAACGTCACTTCCAGAGGTGGCTCTGGTTAATTAGAGATCCCAGCGTGATTACCAGCTCGACTCTTTTTGTCTGCTTTCATCAGGAATCAGATAAATTCCTAAAACTTCACTTATTTACGCTTATTCACTAGTGAGACTCGTTTCAACTGATCACAATTCTAGATTTTTATTTAGGTAATTGGGCATGGATTTTGGAACCTATTCAATGATAAACGAAGAAAACGATCTATGCTTTCATAAACACAATGATGAGGTACAGCGTATGAAAATCCCGGAAATATTTAAGTCATCTCGTTTATATGATTCGAAATCATATAAAGTACTATTTAAGAAATTGTAAAAATACGAAAGTTTAAGAACAACATAAAACACCATTTATGACCTGAAACCGTAAGTGAAAATCAAACGAAGAGATGAGATTCTGGTTTCAAGACTCTCCAGACATCGGGTGTGATTCCAGCCACGCCTGGTTCCTAAAAGAATTTCTACCGAGTTCAACAACGATGCGGCTCGCGATCCGAGTCCCAACGCCCCTTCACCGGTCGGTGCGACGCACAGGAGAAGATTTAGCGCGTGTTCCAGCAGCCTTTCGTCGACATTTCGCCGGGACCGACGTTCATTAACAGCACGGAGCAGAAGAACCAGCGTACAACTGCTTAACTGTTTTGTTCCGGTTGATGGATAGCGCAGATTATTACCGGACACTCGGCTACGGTTTTATGAGGCTAGTTCAGGTAGACGCGTGTCTCCTAGACCGAAGCGGAAGCAATGCACTGTATTAATAGTCGGTTTACCGATAATGATCCGCCGCTAGCTAGGAAATCTCGGCCATGTAAAGTTCAATGTTACGATTATTTTCCCGTCCACTCTGTCTTGCTGCGGGCATTATAAAGAGATGAGCTGAGCTCGCGGGCCTGAGATTCGTAATGAGCCACGCTATTCGTTTGCGCGTGGCACCGCTTACCCCTGGCTGTAAATCGAGTGTGAATTCTCCGCTTTAAAAGTCGTTCCACCGGAATTTACCGGGTCGTGGAATGAGTTCTGATGATTACTATTATGCGCGACGTGAGAGGCCTACCGTTTTTCACGAGCCGAGGTGGCTCTTAATCCGGGCAAAAATTCGCGGGAGATTGAATACTCGCGTAGAGATTATAAAATTATAGGTCGAATGAAATATGAGTTGGAGCGAGCGCATTCGTCAGCTCGCAGTTCCATGGTGGAAGATAGTTATGACTAGAAATAGAATTAAAAACGAATTTCCATACTAATTCACTTGCTAATTCGAGTTACAATTACTTCAGCTCCCGAGCACTCGTGTTTCACTTATATCAACCAAGAACAGGCGTCAATAGATCAAAAGAACTGAGACTCCATAACGGAGGACAAAGACTAATAATTACCATTC